AGGGGAGAGAGAGAGAGAGTAGAGGGCGAGAGAGAGCCAAGTCTTTCCTGTCAAAGGGGATACCTGGCACACACAGCACTATGCTATCGTGCAGTGTTTTATGGTGTGCAAAGAGCTTTCCTCTTTCATTTGATTTTCAAGAGAGTCCTGCAAAAAAAAAGCAAGGCAGGCATCACTATCCATATTTCACAGATGAGGAAACTGAGGCTCAGAGGAAAAATGACCCCCAACGGTGCCAGAATCACCATCTGAGACTTCTGCATCTAGAGCCCCATGTTTTCTCCAGGACACTGGGTTTATATAATGACAAGATCAGCACAAAGCACAGCCCAGGAACAGGGACCAGGACTAAGAGGAAGACACAAGACACTCCAGTTTTCGCTCCCAATGCCATGCTCCAGTGAGGCAAAGGCTTTTTCCTTCCTCGAATGTAAGGGTTCCAGGAAAGAGCTTGGCCCGTGTGTCAAGAGCCTCTGTCCACTTGATGTTTTCCCGTTTCTCTCCACCGATGTCTCTTCTCCAATTCTAGAGGTCCTTGTTGCAGAGCAGGAGTGAGGTGAACTCTGCCTCTGCTCAGCCTACTGCGTCTGGTCGGGAGTGCTGTCCATGACTTGTGCCTTGGGCATGAGAGTTACCGCTCAGCCTCCCACTAAAGGATGACTATGCCCTGTTCGCAGGCTTGGGGGTGAAGAGTCATGCAGGACTGCTGAGTCAATGCAGCAAACGCTTATGGAGCATCTGCTCTGCGCTGGGCATGCGGTCAGTGTCTGGCACAGCTGGAACAACCAGATTCACTTCCTGCTCTAAGGGAGTTGGTTATCCAGACTGAGAGACACACATGGACACACTTACCTCTATTGCTAGACAGAGCGCAACTGGCTTCACGATCGCACTGTGCTGATTGCTTCACACAAAGCATCTCATTTGCTCCTCATAACTGCCCATGAGACAGTCTTATTATTACTATTTTTAGTTTTCTCAACTGATGCTTGAACTGTTGGAGTTGCACAGAGCTTGCTCTTGCTCAGATCAGGTTGAGATTCAAATGCAGCTCTGCCTGGCTTTCTGGGCTTGCCAAGAGGCAGTAGCCATGGGGAACAGGGTGGGGCTTGGAGTCAGCCTGATCTGGGTTGAAACCTGTCTCTGCTGCTTTTTAGATGTGACCTTGGGTAAGCTGACACTCTGAACTTCAGCTTCCTTATCTGTAAAAAGGACAGTGTAGAAATTGACAGGCCAGATAGTATATGTAACCCCCTGGCACAATGAATAAATAGAAGCAAATGTCAGCAGTAATAGGGGAACCAACAAACTTTTGTGGGGGCTCAGGGTCCTTGAAAAGTAGATAGAATTTTGACATCAAGGAGAAGCCAGAGAACATTTCAGGCAGAAAGAAGAGCTGAGCCAAGCATGAAAGCAGGTAATAAGGCAGTGGGGGAGGAGGGCAAGCTGGGCTGCCTGGACCATGGAGGACTCTTGCTAATAATGACGCTGGGAAGGACAGCGCTAGTTGGAGAGATCCAAGATGGCTGATCACTAGCAGCTCAAGGATCGTAGCTCCCAGGGAAAGCGCATAGAAAGAGAGGACGCCACACTTTCAGATGAATTTTTGTTGCCCACGGACTAGGAGATTCCCAGCGGAGGAGCCCAGGGGTCACCAGCGCGACTCTCGTGGCCAGCGTGGCGGTTTTGCCGGCGCTTCGGCGGGGCAGCTCTGGGTGCAGAGTAAACGGGACTGGGTCCCCTTTGGATCAACGTTTGGAGCTCCAGGAAGGCAGAGTCACCCATGTACCTGATTGAAAAAGGGATTCAAGAGGGAAGCCAGACCAGAGATTCCCGAGCAGAAAAGCACCACGAATCTTTAATGCTGCTGCTTTAGCCGGTGCAGTGGGTTGCTCAGATTTTGGTGCTGGGAATCAACAAGTTGGACGTCCACTCAGAGACCTACTTTGAAAGTTGGCAATCACAAAGGCAACAGGTGGATAAACTCACAATGATGGGAAGAAACCAGCAGAACAAGGTTGAGAATATCCAGAATCAGAATGCCTCTCCTTCTACAGGGGATCACAGTTCCTCATCATCAAGGGAACAAGGCCTGATGGAGAACCAGTGCATTCCATTAACAGATTTAGGCTTCGGAAGGTGGATAATAAGGAACTTTTGTGAGCTAAAAGAACATGTTCTAACCCAATGTAAAGAGACTAAGAACTTTGAAAAAAGGTTTGACGAAATGCTAATGAGAATAGACAATTTAGAAACGAAAATAAGTGAATTAATGGAACTGAAGAATATGAGAACTTCATGAAGTATGCACAGGTTTTAACAGTCGAATTGATCAAGCAGAAGAAAGGATATCAGAGGTCGAAGACCAACTCAATGAAATAAAACGAGAAGACAAGATTAGAGAAGAAAGAGTAAAAAGGAATGAGCAAAGTCTCCAAGAAATATGGGACTATGTGAAAAGACCTAATTTACGTCTGATAGGTGTACCTGAATGTCATGAAGAGAATGAATCCAAGCTGGAAAATATTCTTCAGGATATTATTCAGGAAAACCTTCCTGACCTAGTGAGGCAGGAAAATACGCAACTGCAGGTAATACAGAGAACACCACAAAGATATTCCTCAAGTAGAGCAAACCCAAGACACATAATCGTTAGATTCACCAGGGTTGAAATAAAGGAGAAAATTCTGAGGGCAGCTAGAGAGACAGGTCAGGTTACCCATAAAGGGAAGCCCATCACACTTACAGCAGATCTCTCAGCAGAAACCCTACAAGCCAGAAGAGAGTGGGAGCCAATATTCAATATCCTCAAAGAAAAGAACTTTCAACCCAGAATCTGATATTCAGCCAAACTAAGCTTCATAAATGAAGGAAAAATAAAATTTTTCACTAACAAACAAGCACTCAGAGATTTCATCACCACCAGGCCTGCTTTACAAGACCTTCTGAAAGAAGCACTACAAACAGAAAGTTTACCAAAACATAAAGAGTATCTCCATAATGAAGAATTTACATCAGCAAATGGGCAAAATAGCCAGCTAGCATTAAGTTACAATATTGAACTCACAAATATTAATATTAATCCTAAATTTAAATGGATTCAATGCCCCAATTAAAGACACAGACAGGCAAATTGAATAAAAAGTTAAACTCTATTGGTACGTTGCATCCGGAGCTAACTCACAACGATACACAAAGACTCAACATAAAGGGATGGAGGAAGTTGTCAGTTTTGTCTCTGACAAAGTAGACTTTAACAGTAACAAAGACCGAAAGAAACAAAGAAGGACATATAATGGTAAAAGGATCACGCAACAACAGGAGTTAATGTTCATAAATATATATGTACCCAATATAGGAGTGCCCAGATACATAAGACAAGTTCGTATTGACTTATAAAGAGATTTGGACTCCCGCACAATAATAGTGGGAGATTTTGATATCGTATTGTTAATATTCGATGGATCAATCAGATAGAAAATTAATAGGGACATCTATGATTTGAATTTAGACCTGGAATAAGTAAACTCAGTGAATACTGATAGAATTCTCCACCCCAGGTCTACAGAACATACATTTTTCTCAGTATCATATTACACCTATTCTGAAAGTGACTGCATAATTGGAAGTAAATTCCTCTTCAGTATTTGCATAGCATCTCACAGACCTAAGTGAAATATTGGTTGGCTGTTGGCTGTTTGTTATTTTCTTCCCTTATTCCTCCCTGTCTCTGTTAAGTACAATTATTGACATAAAAGAGGTTATTAATACCTTTTTTTTTTTTTTTTTTTTTTTTTTTTTTGAGACGGAGTTTCGCTCTCGTTACCCAGGCTGGAGTGCAATGGCGCGATCTCGGCTCACCGCAACCTCCGCCTCCTGGGTTCAGGCAATTCTCCTGCCTCAGCCTCCTGAGTAGCTGGGATTACAGGCACGTGCCACCATGCCCAGCTAATTTTTTGTATTTTTAGTAGAGACGGGGTTTCACCATGTTGACCAGGATGGTCTCGATCTCTCGACCTCGTGATCCACCCGCCTCGGCCTCCCAAAGTGCTGGGATTACAGGCTTGAGCCACCGTGCCCGACTTATTAATACCTTTTTAAGGTTGCATTCCAGCCTGGGCAATAGAGCAAGAATCCTGTTCTCTCTCCCCCTTTTTCTTTCTCCTTCTTTCTAAAAAGAAAAAAGAAAAAACAAAAAAGGACAGGGCTGGTCATGAGCAAACGTTGAATGCAGGGCCCGGGGGTCTCATCCTCTCCCCTTAGGCAATGAGGCATCTCAAAGTTTTCAATGGGGTATGAGCCATTATTTAATTTTTTTTAAGGAATGCTTGTAACAACAACAATAGTAGCGACTATTGTGTACCTACATCACTGTATCACTGTGCGAAGATTTACACTGTAATCTCATCTGATCCTTAAAATTATCTGAGGTTACTGTTTTTGTTTTCGTTTTTGTTTTGGGATGGACCTTACCCTGTCACCCAGGCTGGAGTGCAGTGACATGATCTCGTCGCACTGCAATCTCCGCCTCTTGGGTTCAAGCAATTCTTGTGCCTCAGGCTCCCGAGTAGCTGGGATTACAGGCATGTGCCACCACGCCCTGCTAATTTTTGTATTTTTTGTACAGACAGGGTTGCACCATGTTGGCCAGGCTGGTCTCGAACTTCTGACCTCAAGCGATCTGCCTGCCTCGGCCTCCCGAAGTTCTGGGATGACAGGCCTTGAAGCCACCGTGCCCCGCTCCTTATTGCGTCCATCTTGCAAAGCTGAGTGAAATGGCTCAATATGAAGACTCTGGAGCCAAATTGCCAGGATTCAGATTTTGGACTCAGAACTCACTAACTGTATAAGTGCAATTTACCAAACCTCTCTGGGGCTCACCATTCCCACCTTTAAAATGGGGATAGAGGTAGCAGTCACCTAACAGGGAGGCCGTAAAGAGCAAATGGCCGATACCTACACAAAGCGATGAGAAGAGAGGCTGTCAATATGCTCTCAGTGACTCTTATTTGATGATGATTGCCCAAGGTGACACACTTAGAGAGAAGGGGTCCCAGTGGGTTCATTGATGGAGACCCTCCAGGGAGCCTCTGCCCACAGGAGGCGAGTGACGGTGTTGTGGGGCAGGGCAGAGATGAGGGTCTCCACGGAAGGAGCCTCTTCAAAGTTGCCGATGGGTGTCCCTCAGCTTTCACGCAGCAGGGCCTTAGGAGGAGTGAGTCACAGCACACACCACGTGCAGGGGAGGCCCAGAAGTCCACCAGAAGCCACCATGGGGCAACAGGCAGGTTCAGATAGAATCTATATAAGGTTAAAAGACCCTTCTGTTATTCAGCCTCTCCCCACACTTCCCCTGCCACACCATCCTCCCTACTAGCCCCTGTAGCACCTTGCTAATTTCCATTCCTCTACCTGTTCACCTGCCACTTCCTCCACCTGGAAGAGCTCCTTCCAGCCAAACCAGACTTTGCAACTTCCCTGAAAATGTGGTTGAAAATTCATAAGCTGCCGGCAGCTTTCCCGATTAGCTCTTTTCCTTCCAATCATTCCCCCCTAACCCCCTGCCTATCCCTTCTGAGATCAGCTGAGAGGCTCAAGTCCTTTGAGAAACCCCACGTGACCCTAGTGGTTCTCACCTGGGCATGGTTTTGACTCCTAGGGGGGCTTTGGTAATGTCTGGTAGGGCCAGCTTCATGAATGTGCTTGGGGTTTAATGCATTGTAGTTGCCATCTTGAAATTTTTTTTTTTTTTTTTTGGAGACCGAGTCTCACACTATTGCCAGGTTGGGGTGCAGTGACATGATCTCGGCTCACTGCAACCTCTGCCTCTCAGGTTCAAGCAATTCTGCCTCAGCCTCCTGAGTACCTGGGACCACAGGCGCCACCACACCCAGCTAATTTTTGTATTTTTAGTAGAGACAGGGTTTCACCACCTTGGCCAGGATGGTCTCAGTCTCTTGATGATCCACCAGCCTTGGCCTCCCAAAGTGGGATTACAGGTGTGAGCGACCGTGCCTGGCTGCCATCTTGAAATTCTTAATAGTGTCATCTTTGACTTTCTGTTTTGTAGATGAAGCCTGATGGGACAGCAGCACGTATGCCGGGGGCTTAGCGTCTTTGTTCATGTGGTCCCCCTCCCCCACTGCCTCCTTGCCTTTCTGGCATGGGTTTCAGGTGCCAGCTCTCCACCCACTGGTGCTCCTGGCCTGGCCTGGCTCTCCCTTCCCACTCAGCAACCACCACTGCCCTCTGTGTCCTTAGGGGGTCTTCATGTGGGTATGGAGAGGTTGACATAAGGTGCTTTTGCTGCATGGCATCTCAGAGTGGGGCATGGCAGTAGCCATTCCTGACCCAGGCTGGCAGTGCCATGAAGCATTAGGCAATAGGCTACATGGGGGGCAAGCTTTTCACCCACCTCTGGACCAAGGGTATCCTCGTGCCATGGTTGTAATGCCCTTGGGGGTTGTCCATCTGCCATGGATTGGAGCAGCAAGCTGTGGGAAGGCTTCCCTGGTTTGACTTCCATGGCTTCGGAAGGACAGATGCATGGCCCAGTGGCTGGTCAGAGCGGGGACACGGCAGCTGGCGGATCGCCTGTGTGTACAGAGTTACAGAGTGGGGTCACCAGATACCTACAAGGGTTTTCACTTACGCTGCTAGTGTTCCTGTCCCTAGGGAATGAAAATACTTTCTATCCGAGTATCTTCAATGGCACTTTTCCTCTGCTTTGTGAACAAAGGGTCCCCCACTTTCCTTTGTGCACTGGTCCTCACAAATTATGTAGTGGGTCCTAACGTCTAGAGATGATTTTCGTTGTCATGGCTGAGGGGGTGCTACTGGCGTCCAGTGGGGAGAGGCCAAGGCTGTCGCTAAATATCCCGCAGTGCACAGGGCAGCCTCCCACAACAAAGAATTATCTGGTCTAAAACATCCATGGGGCCGGGTGAGCTGGCTCATGCCTGTAATCCTAGCACTTTGGGAGGCTTAGGCGGGAGGAGCTCTTGAGCCCAGGAGTTCGAGACCAGTCTGGGCAACACAGTGAGACCCCGTCTATATTTTAAAAAATAAAATTAAAAAAAAAACGTCCATGGGGTTGAGGTTGAGAAACATCGGGTTTTGCATTCTTCCTTTCTGTTCCCAGTGCCCCCCGTGCTGATTTCTATACTAGCTCTTTGCCCGGGTTGTGGAAATGACCTCATCGCGTGTTTAGACCAGAAATTCCTCAAGGGCAAGGTTGAATTCTTATCAATCTCAGATCCTTAGCACTAGGAGCTAAGATGGTGATGGGGCAGAGTCATTCCAATACTGACCGTACTGGCAGACAAGCTGATGAACTTTATCATACTTTAACCTATTGTTTTGTGTGTGTTGGAAGTAAAAAACCACTTACAGCTGTTCTTGAGGCATTACATGAATGTTTTATCTTTCCTAAGTGGATTATAAATCCCTAAAGCACAGGAAATAAACTTTATTATTATGATTTTTTGAGATGGGATCTCATTCTTGCCCAGGCAGGTGTGCAGTAGCAGGATCTCAGCTCACAGCAACCTCTGCCTCCCGGGTTCAAGTGATTCTCCTGCCTCAGCCTCTGGAGTAGCTGGGATTACAGGCTCCCACTAACATGCCCGGCTCATTTTTGTGTTTTTGGTAGAGATGAGGTTTCACTTTGTTGGTCAAGCTGGTCTCGCATTCCTGACCCCAAGTGATCCACTTGCCTTGGCCTCCCAAAGTGCTGGAATTACAGGTGTGAGCCACCGCACCTGGCCAGGAAATAAACTTTCTAAGCCTTCTCTGTTGCTCAGGGGTGCTTAGAACAGTGCACTGTATGCAGCAGGTGTTCTGTAAGCGCTCCTTACTAACATATTTTTCTCTGTTCTGTGTCTACCTTTCTGCATGTCCAAGGCCCATTTATTAATTTATTCATTCAATAAACATCCATTCAGAATTTACTATATGCAAAATACCGGAGATTTCAAGATGTTACAGATACAATTTCTATTCTCAAGGAGTTCAGTCTGGCCAGGGAGTTAGGAAGTGTCTTAACTCCACGTAATTAAGCATCACAGTTGCTGTGAAATTAGCCTTCAGAAAACTAATGATCAAGAAGAGAAGAGAGAAAATACAGTAGGATTCCAATTTCACCAGAATTAGAAAATTCTGTTTCTATCAGAGTTCTCAAGCCTCATTTGGGTTTCTAATTCGGACCTCTGCAGCAGTTGGTTTGTTCGTTCAAGTATGCGTCTGTGTGAGGTCCTGTTCTGGGTACGGGTGACACAGCCGCGAATGAAACAAAGCCCCTGTCCTCCCAGAGCTCACCTGCCAGCAAGCGCCAGGGACAGACAGCAAGTTAATCTGTGGTGTATCACAAGAGGATATATGATCGAGAAAAATGAAAGGGCAGGGGACAGTGAAAAAGGAGCGTGCGGGGCACTGCTGTTAAGGGAGGGATCTTCCTGAGGAAGGAGTTTCAAAAGTGACGTGTCGCCAGAAATCAGCTCAGACTTCTTGGGACGTTGGTTCACTCCACCCACCCTCCCGAACAGGCCCTATGCATGCCCAGAAATCCCCTCTGAATTGCAAAGACACTGACTGTAAGTAGGAATGAGTTGAATGAAGTGTTGCTAAGTTTTTAATGGGCTTTTCTTTAAAGCATTTGGGTGAACATGTTTTTTCCCAAGTTATTCCTCTCAGTTAAAAAAAGAGTTTGGCCGGGCGCGGTGGCTCAAGCCTGTAATCCCAGCACTTTGGGAGGCCGAGGCGGGTGGATCACGAGGTCGAGAGATCGAGACCATCCTGGTCAACAGGGTGAAACCCCGTCTCTACTAAAAATACAAAAAATCAGCTGGGCATGGTGGCGCGTGCCTGTAATCCCAGCTACTCAGGAGGCTGAGGCAGGAGAATTGCCTGAACCCAGGAGGCGGAGGTTGCGGTGAGCCGAGATCGCGCCATTGCACTCCAGCCTGGGCAACAAGAGCGAAACTCCGTCTCAAAAAAAAAAAAAAAAAAAAAAGAGTTTGAACATTTTATTTCCATTATTTGTATGAATGAATTAATTAACTTACTATGTGTGCTACCATACTAATATTTCATGCTCATTATAAGACTAACACAAGAATACAAAGTATGGAGTTAATAATAAATACAAAAATAAGACTGGGCATGGTAGCTCATGCTGTAATCCCAGTAATTTGGGAGGCTGAGGCAGGCAGATGACCTGAGGTCAGGAGTTTGAGATCAGCCTGGCCAAAATGACGAAACCAAGTTTCTACTAAAAATACAAAAAAATTAGCTGGGTGTGGTGGTGGACACCTGTAATCCCAGCTTTTTGGGTGGCTGAGGCAGGAGAATGGCTTGAACCCAAGAGGCAGAGGTTGCAGTGAGTAGAGAGCACGCTATGCCATTGCACTTCAACCTGGCAAAAAGAGTGGAACGCCGACTCAAAAATGAAGTAAGAATCCCAGCACTTTGGGAGGCCGAGGCAGGCAGATCATCTGAGATCAGGAGTTCAAAGTCAGACTGATCAAAATGGTGAAACCCTGTCTCTACTGAAAATATGCAATTAACTGGGCATGGTGGTGCATGCCTGTAATCCCAGCTACTCGGGAGGCTGAGGCAGGAGAATCGCTTGAACTCAGGAGATGAGGTTACGGTGAGCTGAGATCTCGTCACTGCACTCCAGCCTGGGCAACAAGAGCAAAACTCCATCTCAAAAAATAATAATAATAAAATAAAATAAGACCCAAGATTTTCATCCTGTCCCCTCCATACATCAGCTTATGCAACCCCCCCTTGGGGACCCCTGTTCTAAGGTCAAAAAGTACGAAATTCTATTTTATTTTTGGCCAAGAAGAAACTTGGCTAGAGGTGACCAGATAGACACCTCTCAGGAATTTTTTATGACTTGGAAAATAATAAGGGGAGATTGACTGGAGATACAGGAGGAGAGAGAAAGGAAAGAAGGAAGCAAAGAAAAGGGGGATAATGAAGAAAAGAAATAAGAGAAATAATTTTTTTTTTTTTTTTGAGACGGAGTTTCGCTCTTGTTACCCAGGCTGGAGTGCAATGGCGCGATCTCGGCTCACCGCAACCTCCGCCTCCTGGGTTCAAGCAATTCTCCTGCCTCAGCCTCCTGAGTAGCTGAGATTACAGGCACGCACCACCATGCCCAGCTAATTTTTGTATTTTTAGTAGAGACGGGGTTTCACCATGTTGACCGGGATGGTCTCGATCTCTTGACCTCGTGATCCACCCGCCTCGGCCTCCCAAAGTGCTGGGATTACAGGCGTGAGCCACCGCGCCCGGCCAATTTTTTTTTTTTTTTTTTAAAAAGAAAGCAAGATAAAAGGGAAGAAGAGAAGGAAAGAAAAAAATGAAGACAGAAAAGAAGGAAGGTAAGAAGGGGAGGGGAGAGAGAAAGGGAGAGAGAGGGAGCGAGGAAGGCAAAAAATAAAGAAAAAATACCCCCAAGACACCACTGGATAGAGGCAGTGCCTGTGCTCAGACCTCTCGGTGTTGTAAGAATGTTCGTCACAGTCCACAGGCTGCACCTTGGCCTCTTTCCACATGTTCAGAACCACCAGCTAATGCCATGGAGATTGCTTTCTGGTCCGCCTCTCTTCCCCGATAGCCAGTTCCCCTTCCTGGCCCTCACTTGGCGGTGGTGTCAGGAGTGATGTGGAGGCTGACCTTTTCCCATCGCTGTCCTGCACACCTCATTAACTTCCCCCCGCAGCTGGGGATGACCATTATGGAGTAGAAGAGCTGACAGGTTTTTCAGAGAGCAGAGCAATGCACAGTTTCCCAGAAGTTCCTGACCCGGGAGTTCTCTCCTGTAGGGCACGGGAGATAATCCGGTTTATGAAGCCACGAGAAGAAAGTCATGTTCCAAGCTCTTAATGAACCCTGAATACTTTTTTCTTTTTGGACCCTGCCATTAAAAACAAAGGAATGAGACAAGGTGCTTCCAGGAAGAACAAATCAAGGAATACGAAATAAAATACCACAAAAATGCTGTGCAAAATGATACAACCATAAAAACACAAGCTATGGTTTTTGAATGAAAGTTTTAAATTTTGGCCAGGTGCAGTGGCTCATGCCTGTAATCCCAGCACTTTGGGAGGCGGAGGTGGGCGGATCACAAGGTCAGGAGTTTGAGACCAGCCTGGCCAATATAATGAAACCCCATCTCTACTAAAAATATAAAAAAATTAGTCAGGCATGGTGGTGCGCACTTGCAGTCCCAGCTCCTCTTTGGGAGGCTGAGGCAGAAAAATCGCTTGAATCCAGGAGGCGGAGGTTGCAGCGAGCAGAGATCATACCACTACACTTCAGCCTGGGTGACAGAGGGAGACTCTGTCTCAAAAAACAACAAACAAACAAACAAACAAACCAAAAACCAAAAAGAAGAAAGTTTTAAATTTCAAGTTTAATCTAGCCCTACACCAGGAGGCGTGCAATATTTGTTGAAGGAATAGTGGATTTTCACGATAGTTCTGTGACGATGTAAGGTGAACAGGATCTCCACGGAACCAAGGAGACCAAGGCCCCAGAATTTAAGGGCCCATGGCCATACAGCAAGTGAGCAGGTGGTCACA